GTGCGGATCCCCTTTGCTCCTTTGATCAGACGGAGGATTCGGCCAATCCTGGCAAGACGGATCACACGGAACAGGGTGGGGGACACAAAATATTTTTCTATCAGCTCAGCCAGAAACATTCCTGTGAATAAAGAATTAGAACACCAGTCAGTGAAAAATTATTCATTAAAATAATACTTCAACATTTCTTTAAGCTCCCAAGGTAAAGTTCTGAGTACTGAAATTCATTTACTACAACTTAGATACCATTGTATGTAACATATGTTACAAATAAATTTTAATTTTACATTGAGCAATGCATTCAACGATAAAGATTACAGCATATTTTGTCCTTAAGGGATGCAAACTATTGTTAGTTTGCATAAAATCCCAAGTCAGGATTTTTTGAAAAAGCAAGTTAAAAATGCACAAGTTTGGTTGAACAGCAGTGACCCAACAGTACAAGTTTATGTGAATACAAATTACTTTTTCTGAAATGACCAAATTCTAAATTCTCTTCTCACTCCTTAACCATCAAAAAGTATTTGCAATTTATGCTATTTTTATCTCTTCATGAACTTGATGCTTTCTTAGGCTTTTACTATGATATTCTTTACTAAAAATTCTGGTGAATTTCTAAATGGATCCTACACTGATGTTCTTTTTGGTGTCCTATGTCTAACATTGATACTTCAATACTCTTCTTTTACACTTCTATCTCCATTTACCTTTTAAATAAGCCTGTACTTTTAAGTTAAAGAAGAGGAGCTCAGGAAACTAAATGCCTTCAAATTAAAATGCCGCATTCTGAAAGTATTAAGTGTGTGCACGTGTGTGTGTGTGTGGGGGGGAGATAGAGAGAGATGGGTGAATACAGCTTGGATACCTTAGTCATCCTGATCATAACCAAAAATTCACCTAGGAATCAAATACTACACACAAAATATGTTTTGGATATAAGGCCAATTTCTTCCGGGGAGGGAATGGCATGAAAATTTGCCTAAGAGAGATGCTCCATTCTGGATGCTAAAATATTGACTCAATGATATCATCTTATTTAGGAAAGAATGAAATACTTCATACCTACAGATCGGTACTCTTCACTTGACTGGAGTTTTAGTTGCATCTCTTGAGAACTTGCTAACGTTTAATCATTGTCTTTATGCTCTTTTTGCTCTATGCCTTTCCTTATCTTGTAATCAGCTTCCACTACTATCTATGCTGGTCACCCCATATCTATGTCTCTGATACAGTGCTAAGTGGTCCTGAGCACCTGACTAAATTTCTAACCCTCTTCTTAATGGAAAAATCTAAATATTTTATAGGTTCCTCAACCTTAACATGTTGAACACATTTTTATCTTAGTACAGTTCTCATTCAAATGAATGAGATTTTACTAGAATGACAAAGAAAATAGTGTCTAAAACTGATAGAATAGGATGCAACACACATCGATGTTATGACCCTCATTTTATAAGGGAAACAAACACACCTGGATAAATGCATCCCAATATTCACAGTAGTTGTCTCTGAATGTTAGGATTATCTCTAATCTAAATTTGACTATTATGAATTTTCACGTTTATTGAGCTGAATTTCAGAGACTTCGAATATTTCTTACCTACAATGGAGAGAATGACAACCACAAAATCAAAAATATTCCAGCCAATGGTAAAATAATAATGGCGAAGGGAGATCATCTTCAGCACACACTCTCCAGTGAACAGCACAATGAACACCAGATTGATGCGTGACAAAATGGTAGTCACATATTCACTCTGGTCATCAGTTTCCACCATCATTGTGACCATGTTAAGACAGATGAGAATCATGATGCTGATGTCAAAAACTTGTCTGGTTACAAAGTCAAAGACCATCCCTTGAAATTTGTTCTGTAAAGAAATAGAAGTGCTTTCAGTAACAGAGGAGTTTTCTCACATATGTTAGCTTCTATATAAGTACTTACTTTATTAATTGACTTTCTTACATGCCTAGTAGGCATTGGCCCTGACTTTTGTAAGAATGTTTTACAGTATATTAATTTTTAACATTAGTCATCTAAATTGCTATTTACCAATGTGTATTCCTCAGCAAAACAACTCCTTGTCCAAAGAGGGTTTCTTATTTTTAAAACACTGCATATGATACGTATGCACCTTTCTCAGACGTCCTTAAAGTACATCAACAATTTAAAATCACGAGAAGTTGAGAGACCTGTTTGATTTCATTTTATGGACTTTCTCATGATAAGTTCAGCCATGCAGACATTTAAAAATAGGGTATCTGTCAACATGTCATTTGTTCTATTTTTAAAGGACTGTTAAGGAAATTTCAGATTTCTAGGACACATCCATAACATTATGCATTTTTTTAATTTAATTTTTTATTTTTAATAAGTATGAGTACATAATAGCTGTATATGTTTGTAGGGTACATGTGATATTTTGATATAGGAATACACTGTGAATTAATCAAATCAGAGTATTTGGGGTATCACTTTGGGGACTTATCATTTCCTTGTCATAGGAACATTCCAATTCCAATCTTTTAGTTATTTTAAAGTATCCTCTAACTTATTATTGACTATAATTTGTTGTGCTGTCAAATATTATCATTCTATCTAACTATATTTTTGCACCCATTAACCTCCCCACTTTATCCAACCCCTGCTTCTGCTACCCTTTCCAGTCCCTGGTAACCAACATTCTATTCTGTCTCCATGAGATCAGTTGTTTTAATATTTAGCTCCCACACATGAGTGAGAACAAGATTGTGCATTTAAATCCCATGTGCAGCAATACTGATGTTCTTCTACCAAATAACCTTTGTTGAAATGGTCAGACAGAGGATGCTGAAACTCCACAAGCATAATCGGCCCAGGATGACATTCCTTGTGTTTCAATATCAAAAACTCCATGTTCTTTTTCATTGATTTCTAATTCTGCTCCCCAGTTCTACCACGGCCAGTCACTGCAAGCCATTTGCTGGCTCATTTCATTGGGCCGTAAAGGAATTCTGAGGATATTTCCTGCCTTATATTTTTCCTATAAATGATTGGTTCATTTCTATTTGCAATACTACATTTTAACAGAGGAAAGTGTATATTTCTTATCATTCTCTGGAGGGCAATATTTAGCTGGGACTGGAGGACATATAAATTTTCATCAGTCTTTTATTCCTTGATGCATTCTAGGAATTATTATAACCTCACAGATCATTATTATAAAGATCATTACAGTATGAAATAATACCTTCTCATTTTTATAGCAGTTAATTTTGTTCAACATGAAAACATGGGAATTGTTATTTATTATCATGAATTATAATTATTGACCCTGACTAGTATAGATGTTAGACATTTTGAACTTTATTGCTATACATATAAATTATATGTTATTATATATTATTATATTCATATATTATATTATAATACAATGTATTATATTGTATTTGTAATGTATATATATATAAATTACTACAATGCTTTCTCCTCCAAAATACTCAGTATCTCTAGTAAAAAATAAAATGGAAGTAAGGTATTACTTTAATTAATATTTCATCCATTTCTCAATCTAGTAGAAACCTGAGTGTATATTACCCCATTCAAAGGTTTACTCCTTTCCCTGACACTATGTGACAACCATTCTTGAGTTGTGTGGTATGTATCCTTTGGCCAATTAGCTTGAATTCTAGTTATCTAGTTCTAAGTCCCTTAAAGGCAAGGGTACATCTCTCTTCTTTTCTTTTCTTTTCTTTTTTCTTTTCTTTTCTTTTCTGTCTTTCCTTCCTCCCTCCCTCCCTCCCTCCCTCCCTCGCTCCTTCCCTTCCTCCCTCCCTCCTTTCCTTCCTTCCTTCCTCCCTCCCTCCCTCCTTCCCTTCCTCCCTCCCTTCCTTCCTTCCTTCCTTCC